ATGAACCAACCTGCCCTACCAATAGTGATGGGTTAGTCGACGGAGTTATGGCAGCCCTCTTGAAACCACCCGGACTGATTGCGACGTCATCAGCAGTATACTAAGGAGGAGAAGGAGGAGGGGTAGGAAATATCCATCCCCGATGTGAAGCTTCTGCTTCACTGCAACTTCACTAATGGCTGTCAAACCCTGCTGGACTTTGAAAATATTGTTCTGAAATCACTAAATTAAACACTCTTACTCCTCCAGAGCACCCTAGTGACAGCGGTGCTAGCAGATACCGAAACGGCAATGGAAATTTTCCCGGTGTACTCCCCAAGGCACCGGTCTGCTGCTGCATGGTTGGTAGAACACAGGAAAAACAAGGTTAGTGATTTTGTGGGGTCCGTCCCAGGTACTGAGGGGGAGAGAATATTTCAGTTCTTCGATGAGGTGAATGACGGTTCAGTGGTTATCGACTACGACGGATTGCTTACCAAGGCCACTAAGAACCGTGAGTCGTTTCTAGAAAAAGAGATTCTGTCATACACTGACCATAAGGCGCTTAATTGACAATTTCTTCTGAAAGGAGTGAAAAAGCAGTCGACAATGAACTATGCAATACAAGAGGATCATGTCTGAGGGCGAAAAGGGGCGTCCCCAAGTACGTATATTGCTGCAGGCGCGGCAACGGCTGCGAGGGTCTAGAGGAGTAGGAAATAGTGCGACATGTACATGAGATTAGAATAGTCACGGGAATACGCAGATATGCACAGTAAACTGTTAGTGCGATATCGTAACGTGGTCAAACAACTCACCACAGGCAGACGCAAGTGCGGGAGGCGATAGTGGAACTTCTTCCCCAGCACGACTTTCTGTCTTTGTCTGGGTCCTTCTTTGTCCTTGTCTGCTTAACTGATTTCTAACTTCTACAATGAGTTCTTATTTTTACGGCGTGGCCCCCAGCCGCTCGCATTCGCACGCTACAGCGCTTCTATTGACCGCAAAAAGCACCAGCTTTATCTGAGAGGCTACAACCGTAACCCTGTGCTTCACTTCATTTCTCTACCACGTACTTGCCTACTAACTTTTTTCTGGATTTTCGGACGCCAAAACATTCGTAGGAGACAAGATAGACTAGTGTACGGCAAATAGCTATGCCCTGCTAAGGCTGTTTCGCCTTCAGCGACGATGGGAGGGGGGGTGGGAGGAGGAAGAGAGAGACATTTTAGTTTTGCTAGTGTCTTTCTTACGAGTGCATGTTAGCGTAACAAGTCTTAAACTTTGTGAGACTGTAAGCAGCTTCTGAAGCTTGCGACATCAGTATACAGTGAGTCACTTGCTCGCTAAAGCCAATTCACAGCGTTTTACGATGTAACTGCAAGCTTCTCTGCCGAACATGAGTGCCCCACAAAGCCGATACTTTTACCCAGTCGCGGTCGCTCAGGCCACGCTAAGGGTGTTAGGATTCATCAACCGGGGTGAAGTACCGTTTTGGTGAGAGATGCAAACGAACAAAATGTGGCCATCGGAACCTTCGTACAGCCTGTGCCCACAACAACTGGCTGTGTCTGCTTATTGTGAGCTCGTTAACGAGTTACAGGCTACACGGCAGACTCATGTCTGCCTGTAAGGAAACTTGTCTGCTGTTAAGGAAAAACTTGGTCCTAGCTGTTAAGAAAACTTTAGGGCTGAGGTACGACTCCCTCCGCGAAGAATCCCAACGTGCGATTTTGTACACGGCGTCTCTTGCACCATACAGTCACGAAAGCGATAGGGCGCGGGACGCGGGCACATGTTGGAGCGCAGCTAGTTCGGCCCTTATTACACAATGATGCCATCGCGCTGAGCAGGCTGCAGTTGGTATGCGAATTGCCTTTGGCTGCGTTCCAAGCCATTCCCCGTCCTACACGCTACCAGCTGCAGAAATTATGGCTGAACGATTGGCACATTTTCTGACGTACCTATTGAAGAACACCCAGCGGGTTCTTGCCAACAATTTCAGTGCGCATCCTGAGCACGCTGCGTCACTATTTAGACGAAAGGTAGTTCCTATTACTGTTCGTCCAGCGTCCTGGTCGTCGGTTTGGAGTGTGAATTAATGCACGAAATATTTGTGTTAAAGAGCTAGGCTAGCTGTAGACATTAGTCAAGTCTATGAGGACAACAATTTCACAGACCTTGTTAAGCCGACAACCATAGCCCGAACTTCACTTTTTTTCAGCTCCATTTCGACAGCACCACCGATACGCAGATTCTCAGCGTTACCAATATAGCAGGGCAAAATATCAGATGGACTGTGAAGGTGAAGAGCACCAAGACCGGAATTTTCAAAAAATTCGAATAAAGGAATGCTACTTTCAGACGAATGCCGTCTATCAAATTCGAGCTTGTCCTGCGCAAGGTCTACTGCGCAAAGGGGATACTGTTGAGATCAAAGTGACCCTGAAAAGTGATCGTGTCATCTTACCCGACACCGATCATTCCAATGACAAGGTAGCCATCCAGTTCCTTTCCAGCTGAACAGATCTATTATCGATTCCTTCAGCTCGCTATCGACTACGAAGTCACTGGCAGTATTCGGGAACGATTCAAGCGACAACGACTCCATTCATCTACCAAGAAACGATACCAATTTGATATTTTGTACAATTTTTAGGTCTCTCTCTCTCTTGATGGCATGGCTCATAGGTTACGATTAGTTGTAAGACTTAGGTCTATAGGTTACCTCCATTTTTAGCGTCTACTGAATTCAAGCTATTAACTCATGTACTTGACTAGCAGAACCCAAGTGGTATAGTTGCATAGAATCTGTTCCATATTCTTGTTATTCAGTGTTCAACTTCAAAACTATACCGACCTTTTTTCTAACGGATACTGGATTTGATTTGACCGTAATATTCATGTCCCACCACATTTCAACGATAAATATTTGATCGTGATTCCTCTTGTGTCCATCAGCTCCCGGCTGTGTAAACTACCGAATATAGCTCAGCCATTCCTGAGCATGCACCTGCGACTGGCAGCTTTTCTGCTCGTTCTTGCTGAATTTCGAGGTACGTATTTAGAATTCTTTGATCTTAATCTACCTAGCTCGAATAAAGGCACCGAACCAACTTTCATCGATCCTGTTATGGGATGAGCCATGCAACTGCTTTTGGTCAGAATCGTAGTAACACTCGATGCGGTTTGATCTGTTCAATCTACTAAAGACAGTCCCCGCACTCATTCCAGTTCAGTTGCAGTTCGTAGGCGTACTTAGTTGTACAAGTAGTCTTGCCCTCAGTCTCCAAGACTCAAAATGGTCTTGCTTCCAGTCTTGATCCGCCCGCCTAATTTTCGCGGCTCACATAATATGCGAAGGCGCTGCGGTCTCAGTGTGAGAGAAGCTGTTCGTGAACGCTCCCTAGTTGTAGCAGCAGCCGCCCACTGAAACTTGTAGGCTTGACTCTCGTGTCACGGACGTTCACTTTTTTACAGGCGGCATTTTTCGTTTTTTTTTTTTCAGCTGGTTGGATGGTATTAGGCTCGTGGAGAGCGAGGCGCAAGCGTAGTCACTAAATGCTCTCCAGGGAAGAAAAAGAGCGATAGCAAATCGTGGAGAGCACATCAAGAGGGGGCCTGGCAGCATATTCATTTCTCTGGCCCCGAGAAATCGTTTCACATTTTCCCACTACTTTGGGTGTTCTCCACGATTTGTGGTATGTAGGTCTTGCCAGGGCTGTTCCATTAGTCGATCTTGAAAGGCCAAAGAAGCTACCACAAATTACATAAATCAACAAAGTAACAAAGACATAACGGCCCACCCAGAACAGTGGATGTTTCTAAAGTTCGAGGGGATGCACAATATGAGGCATTCTTATGTGGGCCATAACTGTGTTATAATAGTACGTGGGGAATCTCTTGAGCTATGCATGGCGGGCAGCGCAGAACCGAACAAAAAAGGAAAATTCATGCAAATTGTCCATAGACGTGCAGAACCGTTGGAACATGCATTTACAGCCGTTACCACTGAACTCGGGGCGCAGCAGAGTTAGCCCTTTTGCCATCACTCTATAAAGGCCCGAAGCTGCAACGATTGGTGAAGAACGTGCTGACGCTGCGCCAAAAGCCATGCTGTGCTTACACGCCCCGCCTAGCATCAGTGACCTAAAGGACGATATATGTCTCTATCAAGTCCATTTGGCCAATATTGTGTGCTTTTCAGTGTCATGTTTTGAGCTGTGCTTACACGCCCCGCCTAGCATCAGTGACCTAAAGGACGATATATGTCTCTATCAAGTCCATTTGGCCGATATTGTGTGCTTTTCAGTGTCATGTTTTGATTTACGGTTCCTTCAAAGAAACAAAACAATTCAACCGGTGGCAATTGAAATACCTACGCAATTTCCTGCAACGGCTCCCGACACCACAGATGGTGTATGGTCAGAGTGGAAGGAGGTGGGTTCTAGTGTGACTTTGGAGTAGCTGCTCCTATAATTCTGTTCAACAGTCGAATAATGTCTGAAATGAGTTTTACTTGTTGGAGATGCCTCTTGACCAATGGCCCATTTATCGGTAAAGTAGCTGGGGAGGGGTAGGGTGGTGGGGCCCGAGGGGATCATTCGACCGCGCCTCTTATCCCTTATCGCTTCGCTTTTAAGGCTTGGGCGTAGAGCATCGGCGACAAGAGCCGCCGAGCGATAGTTCAGCGAGAAGGCATAGTCTCCGCACTGAGACTGAGCCTTGACGTAGGGCAATCACCACTCGAGACTTCTGGCGATTGGTCTCCCTTGTTAGCTCCCCTCTCAAACACCCGCAACTTTGGCGCGGTCTCGGCCTCCAGGCGGATCCCAGGTGAATCCGGGTATCACATACGAAGATGCAAGAAAAACAAATTTTCGGACTGTTTGGTGAGGTAAATGATCTGTGACTGCTGTAGGAATGCATAGCTTTCCTTTTATCATTGAAATTACATCGGCAACACCCTCTCATAATTATTCAGGCGGTTTTCATCACACAAGTCAGCCCACAAAAGTTGGAGATACTGGTTAATTGACTAGATATTTTAGGTCCTTTCGTGCAACGCGGAGTGCGGTTCCTGCGGATCACAGGTTTTCCGCCGGACATGTATCGGTGGATCTTCCTGCAGGTGAAACTTGTTTCTTAGTTCTGAACCCACAGAGGGTTTTGTTCTAGAGCCTGATTTCATAGCGAGTCAGTGCAATAGCCCACAAGTTAGTGCAATAGCCCAGCAGCTAGTTATTATGGTCTCTTCACTCTGACTTATGAGTAGTATTTCTTAATAGTCAAGATTGAAGCATGTGTTGCGACCTGATCTGTAAAGAAAACAATTTACATGAGAAGTTCGTCATTTACCTTTGCGAGGATCCATTTCTTCAGAGGGAACTCCAGGAAAGAGGAGCGATGTAACATACAAGTATGCGACTATCCAAAGCCTTCATGTTGTCCGCCTTTTAAACTGATGCTGATCGAAGGACAGTTCGCATGCGGACCTCAGCAGGAGGTAAGACACATTTGGATTCACTTCTATGCATTAAATATGCTGGCATTACTGCAGAGGTTTGTATCTGGACAAAGCATATTCTAGGAGACAGTGCCGACCACAACGGGATAGCCCACATCAATATTTCAGAGTGTCGTCGCTGCGTTCGCTGCCCAGCTGCAAGCGAAACCACTACAGTCAATCAACTCTCCTCCAGCTGTGCTCTCCTCCGAAGTGAGCAGCATCTTTCCCTACATGGATACATGGAGAATTCTAAGAAGAATTTTGATCTAAGGCGTAGGTACATGAACAGAAATCGACCTCTACACAGGGCGCTGCATCGGGATGAAATACCATTGTCAGTAACCTCCTCCGCCTCTCGGTTCCTAGTAGACTCCGTCCCCAAACAAAGCTACATATCAACTTCCATTTCCTCAAATTTTTGTCGTCATTTGGGACACCTTCGATCAATTACCAGGAATAATAATTCCCCTCGGTGGCATCTGAGGAACAGTGGTTCCAGTGGGTGTGGGGGAACGCGTGGAACGAAAAATCAGAAACTGTTTTGTTCTTTTGCTTCTGCCTCGAGGTTTTTAGGTGGGAAACTTTAATCTCGGCCAACGTTTCGACTCTTTCGTCGCTGTCGAGGGCCTCCTGCTCCACCACTACAATGTAGTGTAAAGCTACAGCTTAGAGACAGCTCCCGCGCTCAAGTAATACATGGTCGTCCTTCCTTGTGCAAGTAGTCCAGCCCCCAAGCTAGAGACTGTCCCACTCTCGCGACTCCACAGCGAGCGAGGAGCGAGCTACAGCCGCTGAAAGTTCTAGTTCTAACGCCCGCCCAGTTGGACCGCCCACTTGCTAGATGCCCTCTGACGGAGAGCCGCTCAGTTGTTCTTTGTTGGGGCGGCGGGCATTAATCGGAATTGCATGTCCTTTTTGCTGACCGCGCTCGTGCCCATAAATAATTCTGCTCTCCTTCATTACATTTTATTCATTGGGAGCACATACAGTCAACTGCAACCCATCTCGCAAGGTAAAACGCGTAAAAATCACGAGTGATGCAATTTTCGTGGTGCAAAAGCTCGACGCACTAGAAGATGCACGCTACCGTAAGCGTAAATTTGGACGCCGAATTTATGAGATTCTTCTTGTCAAAAAATTACCGTCCATGTTCTTGTTGTTTTTCGTATACTTTTCTTTGCATCGGATGATTCTACTACTGGAATAGGCAAAAAAGCTATTTGTGAGCCAAGGGTCTCATGGAGATGGTGAGGGAGCGATTTCGTTTACGGTGTTCTTGGAGACTCTTCTTGCTTTTTTCTTCTTTGGGAGATTACTTATCAGCTACTGTTTCATAATTGAACAGCAACTATCCATGACACTTCATAGCAGGAACTGTCTTCAAGTTAGTAGGTGAGTAGATTAGTATGCGAAGCATATTCGCATACTAATCTACTCACCTACTGACTTGAAGACTATTCCTGCGATCAAGTGTTACGGGTAGTTGGTGCTCAGTCATGAAGCAGTGGCCCATAAGTAGCTCCTCAGTAGAAAAAGAAGCGAAAAAACCTCGGGAACACCCTGAACACAGACCTCCCCTTAGCAGTGGGGGCGGCGCTTTGGACGAGTATGTCAAACGTGGTCGAATTCCG